CTTGCCAAGAACACTTCTCTAAACAAAAACTTCGTTCGAAATCGATGTTAAATTGTAGGTCCCATATGAACTGCGTCCAATCAGCGTGCGCAGATAAGTATATGAGAGAAGTCACCACGCTCGAATACGACTACACAGGACTAAAGAGAGATCTTTGTACTTTGTCTAACAGTTAGCTTCTGAATGACAATTAAAACAACTGCTCAGCGTTTTTGATTTTTCTCACATTTCATTCGTAGGTACTAACGAACGGAGTGTGAGGAAGATCAGCCAAAAATACTGAGCCGTTATTTTAATTGTGGTCATTCAGAAGCTAATTGTCAGATGAAGTCCGAGACAGTATCATTACTATATCGATCTTCCAACGGCTTATAACTAGCGATTTTTCTCTTACGAGCATTCGTATTTACCTGGACTTGCTGAATCTTCTTGAGTTCTTTATGAGTGAATGCCAATTCCGCTCTCGACAAGTTCTTTTTTTTTTCAATTTAATTTATCCTCTCTCCGATATAATTCAGCCTCTTTCTAAATGATACTCATATTGGTAGAGTATCGACTAGAGTAAGATACTCTTATTGCTGTCGACAACTGTTGCTTGTTTTCTTTTTTTTTCACTTAATATAGCGTTTGATTCCTTTATTGTCTGAGACGGATATTATTAATCTGCTTGCAATCGTCTTATTAAGTCTTCCTTCAAGCCAGTGATTGGAAGTTTCTTAAGTTTCAGTATTATTTAATTCTGTCGTGGTAAAATCGCTCAGTCTATCATTTTGACTCTGCTTCTTTCTTTCTCTCTCTCACTCTCATTCTCTTTCTCTCTCTTTATTTCCATAATTACTCAGAAATAACGATGTAGCAATTGTTCATCACGATCGAACAGCCAAATTCTTTTCAAACTCGTCTCATTTCCAATCCCGTGAAGTCTCAAATTATGAAAATTTCCGTCTTTTAATCATTACTTTAATTATAATATTATATAAAATCAAAAGCTCTCTCACGACACTCAAGCAGCATAGGAACGCATGCAAAGTGCTAAAAAAGCGATTATATGCGCTTTTTTTAGAGCTTTGTTAACGCTTTGTAAGCGTTGGTAAGCTCTGTGTGCTTAGGAAATCATAGTCATCATAGTCTCAATGTCAATGCCGTGAAGTTTTATAGATATCGATCTGATAATCAACTTACGTTAGTTTTCTAATACGTCAACAATCGCGCTCCCGCATTGTTTTGAATATAGAGCGTAAAATCTAAATCTTTACAGTATTGCAGGGCATTAAAATAACCTAATCATAATTCGTACAGTGTAATTCTTTTAATGACACGCGTCTTTCTTGACAACTTGCCTCGACAACGATTCACGAATTTTCTTAGCAGTAATGGGATTAAATAAAAAGTTGCAGAATTCTTATTTAGAAAGAAATAATAGCAGATAGCAAGCTATGTCATTTTGTCATTTTGACGTCAGCTTGTTACCAGCTAAAAAATCAAAGAGAGTCGAATAAAGTTAGAAGTTAACGGGAGATATAAACGGAAGCAGGAGGACAGGAAAAAAAAGGAAAAATCAAAAAGAGGCAGAAAAAAACATATTTCTTTTGAACTAGTCTGTATTATCCATAACTATGTTCTCGTACATATGGGCGCCCGTGGAGAAGCAGTAATGACGTAAAAATACATCTACGAGAAGCGAGAAGATAGGTAGGAAGGTAGACTGCCGTTCTCCTGGCATTCTTGCTACGTCCAGGACAATCCCCTGGATCGTAACCGGCCGGCTTGGAGAAATTGTTTCCATCGCGACGATCGCCTGATCAATAAACGTCTCATTTAATCACCTTCCTCGAATGCGTTTTCGCCATAGTTGCCAAGCGTTTTTTTTTTCTCTAACATACGTTCGAAGATGATCTTTGGAGAATTTTCATTGAGATCATATCGAGCGACACGTAGTGAATTGTAAATTTCATAAAATAGATTGCCTAAATGATAGCCATATAAATAAAAATCATTACATAAAGTATTTAAAATATCACTACGTAAGGCATTTAAAATATTTAAATGTTTAAAATAATGTTATATTGCAATATATAAATATACAGTAATAATAGATAGCAATTGGCAAACTTTAAATAAATTAATTTTGATAAGATGAAAAGGGATGTGAGACGTTAATTTTTAAATTATGTGTGTATCGCAAAGTAAAACTATCGATGCATTGAAAAAAACATTTTATTATTTTAGTACTGCATACCTGGAAAGTATGCTTTTTACTTACATAATCGGATCGTACGAAATAAAAAAATATTAAATTAACAAAGTATAATATGGCAAAAAGATTATAAAGTACAGATTTTTTTCTACGACGCAAGTCTTGCCTGACGTTTCGATAGTGAAATCCAATTACATTTCCTTCTCAACGATAGGGTTTTTTTTACAGGACTGAAATATATTCTTTAGCATGAATTGATTACGACAAAGTTTTTAATAATTCATTTACGATAAATTCAGAACAATAAATGTAAGATTTCTAACTATCGTAGTGCGATTTCGCTTTTATCAGATAATGATAAGAAAGGATAATACTTTTTTGAAACATAAATTAAATTCGGAAATTATAAGATTATTGGCAGATTCTATCGATTCTTATCATTTTCTATCTTATTTTTTTTAGACAAGAATGTAGCAAAAAATAAAATAAGGTTAGCTATGAAAATATGCAAGTAATTAAACGAAATCTGTAAAATAAGGCTTCGTAAATTTGTAGAAAAAGATAAACTCAATATAAAATATCCAATGTATAATACATATCAAGGATGCATAAAACATATTTCGGAATCTTTCAGAGAAATAAATAGAGATACAGTTACTGAAATAAATGTTGATTGCGGTCATAAGAGGTTTTGATGGTTTTAACGGACCTACGTTACGAAAAAAGCTGAATGGCTGCTCTCATATTTCTATTTTCTTTTTTTTCGTTTATCTTCTAAAATATTCCGAAGCAACATGCTTTCCTTCATTAAAACTTAAAACTTAAAACTTAAAATATTTTAACATTGTATTTTGTCAGACAGTAGTTCTCGAATGATCAAGCTGAACACAATTTGAACAATGTTGTCAGAGTTAATGCCTTTGATCTTCATGTTCCAGTCGCTGCTGCTTACAACTGCGCCTATCTTGTCTGGACACTGAGACAGATTCATAGTCTTCATCTTGCAATGACATATTTTCGAAACAGCAACATATTTTTTGTGGGCGACTAGCATCAATCAAAGCTTGTCGAAGCATCTCAATTTCTTTTCGAGCTAATATTAATTCTCGCTCAGCAAGTTCTTTTTCTCTTCGATACAATTCAGTTTCTTTCCATATCATATGTACATCAACAAAATATTTTGTTGGATTTATCTCCTCTGTGACATCCGCTGCCATTTCGGTCCCTTCAAATCGATTGATATCGATAAAGTTTCTTGTCGCGTTCGTCGTCTCTGCCGCACTCGCTACAGTTTTGGCCTTTTCAAATTGAAATGTTCCTATATAACCTTTTGAAATATCACCAACAAAGTTTTTTATTGCCGCATTCGTCTCCTTTGTGGCATTCGCTACCGCTTTGGCCTCTACAAACCGAATCATATTTACATCAGTAGAATTTCTTACCGTCGCGTTCATCGATTCTATGGCATTCGCTGTTATTTTTGTCTCTCCAAATCGAATTACATTTACACCAGTAAAATTACCTGCTGTCGTGTTCGTTACTTCTATGGGATCTGCTATCGTTTTGATATCTTCAAATCGAATTACATTCATATTCATAGAGCTTTTCGCTGCTGCATTCGTCGCTTCAGCAGCACCCGCTGTCATTTTAGTGTCTCCAAATTGAAACATATTCATATTAACAGAGGTTTTTGTTTTCGCGTTCATCACCTCTGTAGTACTCGCTATCGTTTTATCTTTAACAAACCGAACCATATTTCCATCAGAACAATTTCTCGCGGGATCTATAGTAGAAGTTGTAGCGAGCGTAAAGTTTTAAGTCGTAGAAATTTAACTAATCACAATCGAATACGAGAAAAATAATCGATTATAATCAATCAATTTTCTACAATTTAGAATCCTACGATTACTACAATCTCTATATTGTCCAGTATTAAAGCTCTTCTACGTAGAAGTCAATAGACAATTGTGGGATCTTAAGTCATAGAAAATTGATCAATCAAATATAAGGAGAATATTCAACTAAAAATGATCAATGGTTTCTTATGATGAATTATAGCCACACACAGACTGGCTATGATTTTGTAGTCAAAATCTGATTGAGTTTACTGCCAATTTGGCTTCAAATTGCTAATATTCTGCTATCAGGGGATCTATAGAATTACTTGTTGTTGTGTTCATTGCTTTTGTGATATCTGCTGTCGTTTCAGTGTCTTCAAATCGAATTACATTCGTAGAGCTTCTTGCTGCCGTGTTCATCACCTCTGTGACATTCGTTTCCGCTTTAATCTCTACAAACCAAACTTTTACATCAGTAGAGTTTCTTAGAGTGAAGTCCCGTGAGGCATATGTGCTTTACGTATAACTGCGTAAGTCTTGGTCCATAACTTTGCTTTAAGAGGCCTTAAGCCGAAAGAGATTAAGTGACAATTATTTCTGTCTTTAAATTGCTTTTGCGCAATCTTTAGACTTTAACCGTTAGATTTTAGCGAATTGAATAAAATCCAATTTCTTATGACCATAAGTACAACTTCTGTGACCGATATATTGTTACTTTCATCTTATGGCTTCTTGAAGTTACGGACTTAGACTAACCAGTAATTAACCAGTAACTAACCAGTAAAACGCGAAACGACAGCTGATCTCTTCTGACTAATTACGCAATTACGCGATTCGCGGTAAATACCTACACTACATACACGACATAAGTCACGGGATTTCACTTTAAAATATCTTTACATGGGGGCGTCAAACGTCGAGTATCAAAGCATGCGCATTGCGTAATGACACATTAAATAACTTTATTGAAATGCCTTGGATTTAATGAGCCTCATACGACACTTGTCATCGAACATTGATTGATGAAAAATGACTGATGGGAGTAAATTTTACCTCTACAACGGCTTTCATCAATCAGCGTTTGGTGTCAGAGCGCTATTGCGATGAAAATCCGGGCTTTACATTGCAGTTTTACAACATCATGCCAGAACTTTAGCCGATATATACTTAGAGGATTTCTAGACTTACCTGCTGTTGCGTTCGTTGCTTTTGCGGTACCTGCTGTTTTGGTATCTTCAAATCGAATTTTATTTACATCAGTAATGGTTTTTATTGCAACATTTGTCGAATCTGCGACATGCGCTACCGTTTCGGTATCTGTGAACCACTTGTCCATCGTAGGTTTCTCTGTGATGCTGTTCCTTTCAGTATCCTTTGTTTACATATGGAACTGATACAGCATGTCTTCTTGCAACCGATTTATCAAATCTGCCTTCAAGCCAGTAATTGGAAGATTTCTAGTTCTCAGTTGTTGCTTTAATTCTTTCACGGTAAAATTATTCATTTTGAATAACTTTTAGTCATTCAAATACGACAACAATCGTTTGAAACGAACACCAAAAATTCTTATCAAGTTTGTCTCGTTTCTAATTTTGGAAAAGTTTTCAAATTTTTATCATTATATAAATTTTTTTTTAACATTACTTTAATTATAAAATAATATATTGGGTTGTCCGGATAGTTCGTGCCGAATAACCTATATAATTTAATAAATGTATACTAAAATTTAAATTTTCTGCGTTTCAATTTTCCTTCAATATCGGCACAAACTTTCCGGACAACCTAATAGGATCGAAAAAAAATCCGTTCAGTTCACAATATATCATTTAATATCGTTCGCGATATTTATCTGTGTCGATCCGCACTTATAATGCCAATATTAGTAATCGTAATAACGATTGAATGCACTCGTGTATTATGACTTTTGCGCACCAAATGCAGAAGTATTTATCGTTCGCCGTGCGGATATGACTATATGATTCGTTATATACTGATATAAAAACACACAAAGGCATACATATATCAGAATAGTACTTATTATCCTTTCTCGTGGTTTTTCTGATTTCTGCGATGTAATTCTCGTGCGTAATATCCCGGGGTAATATCATAGTTATCTCATATCAAGAATTGATATGATATGAATTATAAATGTAATACTAAGGATTAGTAAGGATCCAGACAGATTTATATATGAAACCGTATAAAGAAAATTCCAATCACATATACGTCCTTATAATAAAAATATGCTTAGATAATTTCTTTTATGTATATAGTTACGTAATTATATGCAAGTTTGTCTGAAGCAGACAGAATAATAATTATAAATTAAATATTAATGTTGAGTATCTGTTTAAAACATCGTAAAGTTACAGTAATTAGTTAACAATATTTTTTTTTTAAAAAGATGCTTATTGACATCAATATATCTAATTCGTGATATTACTATTACAGTTTCAATTTAAAACTATTTCAAGACCGAAAATTTTTAGCATAGTTTTAGAGTTTTGGAAAATGTATATAAAATATAAATGTATAAATGTATATAATTCACAGAAGTATTATTAAAAAGCACAAAGCACAAATATGTACATTAACTCTGATCGAAGCTTATTTTTATTTATTGTTAATGAAAACTACGAATAGTATTTTTTCTTTTAAACTGTAACACGAATTACAGATTATCTGTTTTACTGTTTATTTTATAATAATAATCCATTTGATATTATCAAATAATATGCAATAACATAAAAATAATTAATTCGAGAGATTTCTCTAAAAAAGTACATGACATATTATTTTATTGCACTGAATACAGGATACTTATATCGTTCTGTTTTTAAGCAAAACAAGTTTTTCCAATTTTTATATTGAAATGGATATCATAAATTACATTTCTTCTTTCTGATCTTTTTATCGAAAATAGAAATGCTTATTGTATTTGTAAGTAATAAATTGATTTTATACAAAATTAACAATTCACAATTTCTAGAATAACATTTGGAATGGAACAGCGTTTTATTCTAACACTATTATTTTATAAGTTTCTAAAGAACTTTTCTTTTGAAACGCTATACATATATATATATATATATATATAT